CATGGAGCCTTTCTCTGTAGGTTGGAGCAGGCTCAGGTGGGAGGCCCCCAGTGCAGTTCAAGGAGGGAGAAAAAGCCACACTTCCTCGGTGGCTGCTGTAGCTGTGCTCTCTTTGTTTTCACGCCTTCCTGTACTCCCACTCCACTGACCCCAGAGCTCCCAGGGTCCCTCCTGTGACTCCACTGGCCTCCTGACCCCAGCTGATGTCTGGCCAACACTGCTGCCCCTCTGGGGGTCTCTGTGGGTGTGGGCACCTGTGCTGCTATGGAAGCAGGCTCGGGGGGCAGCAGATAGCATGTGAAGTCGCCCCCTCTCCCTGCCCTGATATGCTGGAGCTGGCTGCCATGGGGAGAGGCAGGTGCAGACAGCGGCTGGGACGGCTTCTTGACCACACCCCGGGCCCTGCCCACCCAGGCCGTCAGCCTGAGCTGGGCCTCCAGCGGCTAAGCTTTCTCTCTGAGGACAGGGTCTTGTCCCCAGCCCTTCCTTCCCCCACCCCTGTGTCCTCCCTCAGGCAGTGCTGAGGTGGCTGCCGCTGGGTGAAGACCCAGGGAGTGGTGTCCCAGTGCCATCAGGGAGGGCAGCCTTCTCATTATGCATATGTGGGGCCTGGTTTTTGCTTCTCTGAGGCCCATGGGGAGGGGGGGTTCGAAGAGAAGGGAGGACTCAGGCCACGGGGGCAGCACCCTGGGCTGGGGCAGAGAGCCCCTGGGCAGTGCCCCAGCCTTGTGAGCAGAGCCGCTCGCTCGCTGAAGCAGGCACCTCCCCGCAGGTGCCTCTGCTGCTCTCTCATTTCCAAGTCAGAAAAGCAGGTAAAAGAATCAGGAGACTTGCTCCTTCCAGTTCCCAGTCCTTGAAAGAGCCAGAGCAGGAGGGGAGGGAGCTGCGGGAAGGTGGGGGGCAGCGGATTTGCTGGGATCCAGGCCCGTCTACCCCCCTCCGCCACCCCTAGGCTCTGTCCCCACACCTTCGGTCCTGGTCGTGCCCTTGTACCCCAGTCTCTGGTGACTGGCCTGGGACGATGCTAAACCGACTCGAAGGCTGGGGACTAGAGCCCACCCCCCCACTGTCCGAGTCACCACTGCAGTGACAAACAGACTGCCCCATGGTTACTCCGCCCTTGGAGAGCAGGGGAGGATGGGAGAGCTCTTTATGGCTCTGACACCCGCCCTAATCATGCAGGCTCTGCTCTGTCTGAGATCACCTGGGGTGCTGTTCTGTGGGCACACCCCTGGGTAGCCAGGTACGGTTACATTTTTAGTTTGTAGCTTTGTCACTTCCTGGAGGTGTGACCTGGGCAAGGCACTGCCCCTCTCTGAGCCTCTGAGTGGTGGTAGTTCTGTCCTGGTCCCCAGGAGGGCAGTGAGGGCTGGCTGACACTGGGTGTGTGGGGTGTCCGGCCTGTGTGACAGTGGTTCTCGATGCAGCGGGCTGGCCTCTTCTCCAGGCCATCCACAGGGGTCCCTCCACCCTTGCCCAGGCAGGGCTGGCTCCGGCTTGCAGGCTGGCTTGGAGCTTGCCAGTGTGCGTGGCCAGCCCAGGGGCAAGGCGTCAGCACCCATAGCCCTACAGATACATCATTCTTCCTGTCCCTGGGCTGGCAGCACTCATCTCCGGCCTCAGGAAATCCTTTCCTGCTGCTGCGGCCATCAGCTGACCCATCCAGCCACCCTCTGTGCTGCTGGGAAAACCAAGGCTTTAGGAGGGGAAGGGGGCTGTCTGAGTCACACTGTGCAAGCCATTTTAGCCCACTCTTTTCACTGCTCATCAGCATTTTCTCGCATGATTTTAGTCTCTGAAAGTGGCCATCTTAATAGCTGCACAATCTTCCATTGAGAGGCTCTGGTTGCCCAGCCAGTCCCCTATAGTTGGGCATTTAGGTTATGCCCCCTCTTTGTTTGCTGTTATAAATGCTGCCACAGACATTGTTGGGGCTAAAGCAAGAATAGTTCTTTGTGCTGTGGGTCTGACCAAGAGAACAAGACCCCAAGAGCCCAGAGAGCAGGAGCCGGATCTCCCCACTTAGGGTCTAGGATCAGCAGCAGTCCTCACCCCAGTGGACACTTTAATGGACAGATGAGAGCCAACGTCCCTGTGTGAGTCTTAACCACTGGACCAGCAGGGAAGTCCCTGGGCCCCAGTTCTGAACTCAGTTGTGTTTGAGGGTGGTGCTTGGGTCTCAGATGCCTGTCCTTTGGGGTCTCTGAGTGCGGCAGGGTCCTTGGCTTTCCTGAGTATCCCTGCCCCTTGATTCCCTTTCTGCCCTGTCCTGAAGTTGCCTGCCACAGGGGAGTCAGGGTGGACTGCACTCTAGCATCCCCACCATCCCTTCTGTGGCCACCAGTTCTTTCCCTTCCGTGGCTGAAGTCTGTGGGACGGGGCAAGGGGCAGTAACCTGGGTCTCAACCTCTTCCTCTGGAAGACGGGGCTAATCGTGAAGCCTGTTTTGCAGGATCACTGCGGGCATGAAATGAGCACGTGGTCATAGAGACCTTGGCCCAGGGCCAGCCTGGATGCTGTCCTGGGGGCTGTGTCACTTGGCAGTCGGCCCGGGAGGGTCTGCTCCCCCGTACACCCAGCCAGAGCCTGCCCAGTGGGTGCCCCTCCCCCCTCCCCCGCGGCAGGCCTGGGAGGGGGCATTCCTCTCCCCCTCCAGCTACTCCCCTTGCAGCACAGTGGGGCACAGATCCTGGGGCCTTGATTCCAAAGCGGAAATGCCATTCTGGGAGGCACAGTCTTGGGTGGGGGGGGCGGGGAGTTTAAGTGGAAAAGCAGCAAATTTTTGAAATGCCTGGGCCAGAGCTGGGTTCTCCCCCCACGCCTGCCCGCCCACAGGAGCAACCCCGCCCCCAGCGCTGCTTTAATCCAGCCCCAGAGAGGGAGGGTCTCTGGTCCTCCTCCTCCCAGGCTGCCTCCTCCTGTCTCCCAAGGCCAGCTAGGGCGGAGTAAGGCCAGCCCTTTTGCATCCCTGCCCATTCCTGCAGAGACCTCCTGCCGTCTGGCTGTGAAGCCTGGTCCCCACCCCACTCCCCACCGGAGTGGAGACCCGGGGAAAACCTAGGGACTCCCTCCAGCTCCCAGCATGGACAGATGTTCACACACAGCCCAGCTGGTTCTGATCTGATTCCTTGGAACCTGGAATGCCAGCCAGGCTGAGGGCAGGGGCAGGGGCAGGGTTTCGGAGGGGCTGAGCCCGCAGTTTCCTTTCTGACTTTGGGGCACAGCTTTGGGAACAAGCAGGAGAGGATGCTCTAGGTAGTGTTCCCCTGAGAGTTGGCTCTTCTGTGGGAGAACTGGGCTGTTTTGAAGGTTACAGGAGGTCCCGTCTTGAGGAGGGCAGAGGGTAGCAGCTAGTTGTCCCATTTCTTCTTGAGGACTCTGGGTCACACTGAGTCCAAATCCCAATTGCTCCTTACCCACACCCTATGCTGGGAGTTCTGTCCAGTGGTTCCCCGAGAAACTTTGGGGGAAATACAGATGTCCAGATTCCCCCCACACCCGGGATTTCTGGAGGAGGGGACCTGTGGGAGGGGTTTTTAGGGGGGGATTCCTAAAAAACAGGAATCTGTTTTTTGACAAGCTCTCCAGGGGACCAGCCAGACTTGGGGTGCCCTAGCCCAGCTCCTTCCTTTTACAGATGGGAGAGGGCCTGGCCAAGGTAGCACACCTGGCGAGAGGCTGAGTCGGCCATCCCTGGGTGTCAGGTGGAGGGGCACCTGTGGGTGCACCGTGGGCTTGTATGTATTTTATAGGCCGTGCCCGAGGGTTCTCTGCAGGGTGGGCCCCCATGCTTCCCTGGAATTTCGAGCTGCCTGATGGTGTCCACACACTCAGCAAATGGGACAGTCTGGTTCTGGAGAGGTCCCATCCTAGATCTCTCTGCAGACCACTGTGCAAACCTGGACTGTGCTCAGGGACTCTGATGGCTACATGGGGTGACAGTCACCAACTTGCCCCCTAGGGAGGGGGAGCTCAGGAGAACCAAGGTGTCCTTCACTCAGTTTCCCTGTCGTGCTTCGTCTCTCTCCCTCATTCTCATCAGCATCCCTCCTACCCCCTGTTGCTGAAACAGGAGTCGTTGGGGCACAGGCGTTAGCCCTGGACAGGGCTGACTGAGGGAGGGATTGGGGTAGGGGCACATCTCCTAGAGCAGCACCGAGACAGTGGGGGACACTTCGAGGAGACTGAATTCAATTCCGAGGGGAAGGTGGGAGATGGCAAGCTTCTTGTCCCTGGGTGCACTGGAGCCTCCCGCGCACGGCTGGTAGAACATGATGCGCTCCGGTTCTACTCTCCCTAGATTACAGGGACAGCCGCAGTCCCCAGCTTCCCTGCTGTGTCTTCATGTCCTGGGGCTCTTACACCAAAGGCCTGACCAGAGTCGGTGTGGTGGTCGTATTATTAGTTTTCTGCCAGCTGGGACATACCCCTCTAGATGCAGATCTAGATGCCGGATGGACACGCGTGAAATGCCCCAGGTTGGTGGGCGGGGAAGGCAGACTTGAGGCTGGTGCCTCCGGGGCTGCAACGGCCACGGGGGAGGAGGGCAATCCCGGCAGTCTTCCCAGAAGAAGAAGTCTTAGGCCTTTGAGGAGGCGCGCGTTCTCGCCCACGGTGGAGGGCAGGGATGGGCATGCGGAGAAAAGGCGATATCCCGCGTGTCCGGCAGGCGCCTGGAGCCTAGCGCGGGTGCAAGGGTGGGGGGTGGTGGACGGTCCCACTGGGCGGCGCGTGCCCGCGCGCTCCCGCAGCCACCCGCGCCCCCGAGCCGGCGGCTCATTTGCATGGGGAGCCCGAGCGGCCAATGGGCGCGCGCGACCGGGCATGCCGGGAGCCGGGCTGGGCCCGCCGGCCTTGGCGGCGGTGGCAGGCGGGGCGGGATGGGACCGGCTCTGTGCGGCGGAGGCGGCAGCGGCGGCAACGCGAGCTTCGGCGGCGGCGGCGGCGGCGGCGGCGGCAGTGGCCGGCGAGGTGGCTGAGGCGGCCGGACCAGGACCCGGGCGGCTTCGGGGCTCTCGGGAATCCGAGAGCGCGCGGCGCGGGCAGTTTGCTGTGCGCCCTGCGGGGAGCCGGGGCCCCAGGCCGACCCAACGCGATGAACTACCTGGTGAGTGCGGTCAGCGCGGCCAGTGCGGCCCGGAGTCCACTCTCGGTGGCCGGGGCGGCGTCCGCGCGCCAGGGAGCGTCGGCCGAGGTCCGCGTACCGGCTTGGAGGCGACCCAGCTCTACCCGCGCCCGGGGCTGTCCCAGGCGGGAAAGAGCTAAGTGAGTGGCATTTCCTGCCGGACCTGCGGGTCCTGGGAACTACGGGCCGCTGGAGCCTCCGCGGGGGCGTGACCGGGCCGGGGTCCGAGGTCCTGGAAAACCCCCCTTCTGCCCTGGCCGGGGCTCCCGGAGGCCAGGACTGCGGAGGATCCCAGAGCCTGCGCACCCCGGGGGCGGCTGGAAGGACCGGACTCGGGGGCCGCGGGCCGGTAGGAGAGTTCCTGGATCCGGGAAAGTTGCTGGCCGGAGGCCCGCTCTCCCTCTGCCGGCCGCTGCCTGCTGGGTGACCTTGGGCCTGTGAGCCCTGTCTCCGAGCCTCACTTTAAATCGCTACGAGGAGCGGTCCGAGGTCCTTTGGACCGTGAACTTCCAGGGGCGTAAACTTCCAGGAAGCAGGGTGGCGATCCGTGTGTTTTGGAGTGAGGGCTGCCCATGCCCCCAGGTTAGGGGTTGAGGGCTGGGCCAGCAAGCGCGGGTGTCCATGGAGAAGTTAATAATTAACCCCCGGCCCGTCCGCGCTGGATTCCGGGACCCAGGGCGGGAGCTTCTCGGTTATTACCTACCGTGGTTGCAAAAACGGTTGTAGGAGCCGGGTCTTGGCAGGGGAGTCCAGGGCCACGCCGCGATCCCGGGGTCCTAGCCTCCGCGGGTAGAGCGTGGGAGCTGGGGAGGGGCGGGGCCGCTGCCCGGGTGGCCGCAGCCCGGGCGCCCAGCCCCTCATTGCTGCTGCAGAGCCCAGAGCGGTGTTGAAAGATTCGGAGAAGCTGAGATTTGCTGAGGGCTGGGCGTGGTCAGGGGGTGTGAGGGGTTTAGAGTCTGGGGAGATGTTGGGGTCTCACATCCCTCGGTAGGAGCAGTGGCTCCCTAACTGGTCTTGAGAACCGGGAGTTTATTTTCTTGGCACTCTTAGCATGAGGAAGAGTCTAAGCTGGGAGGTGCTCTCTGGGTTTGCTGTGCAGATTTCAGCCAGGCAGGGAGATGTTCCTCATCCCCCTGGGCTGGGGGACACACCCCCCACCCATGACCCTTTCCTTTCCAGGGTGGAGAGCTGATGGTGGGAGTGGAGGGATGGCAGGGCTGACAGGCTTTGAAAAGCAGGAGAAGGGCCCAGGTGCAGGTGGAGACTGGCAGGAAGGGAGGTCTGGGAGGACCTGCCGGCAAGCTCTCCTGGCACTAGCACCCACACCCGCTTGCCGTGGGCAAGGAAGGAGTCCTGTAGGTGCCGGGTGGAGGCAGGGCAGGGCAGCCCCAGCTTCTGCCAAGGCAGTCACCCTTAGCTCCCGGTGACTTTTGAAAGAGGGTGACTTTTACGCTTGTGCTGAACAGAGGCGTTAGCATTGTGGGCTGGCATCATCTCCCCAGGCTTGGGCAAGGGATTGAAGTAAGGGCAGTGCCACTAGGGAATCCTTCCTAATGAGGAAGGGCCCCTAAGACACCTGCTCTCCCCGCGAGTCACAGAGAGGGGCAGTTACTTGTCCTCACAGAACCCAGAACATAGTCTCCTGGTATGGCCCCATGCTCTAGCCATGTGCTCCCCCTGCTCTGGGATTGAGGGTGCTCTGGCCCTTGGGGTGCTGCCACGCTCTACTGGGGCTGCCAACTTGGTGGGGTCTCTCTGGCTCCAGAACTGTGCCTTAGTAGCCCCCTCCTGGCCTCCATTATTCTTTTAGGAGATCCCACCACCCTTTGTCTCTCAGGCCTGGAGAACTCCCTCCACCATCCCCCAGGAGCCCACAGCCAGTTGGGGGCAGCCAGAACCAGCCAGCAGGTGGAAGGGGGAGGAGCAGTGTTAGAGTCATGCTTGGAGGGCAGGCTGTAGGGTAGGGCGGGACAGGGTCGTTCTGCAGCAGAGACACTGGCCAAATTCCTCCTCCTCTGGATCCTTAAGGCCCCCAAACAAGGGGCTACAGAGTGGCCTCCCTCCAGGGGTCAGGCTGGGCCATCTAGCACTGGGGAGAGGCCCTGACTCCGTCTCGTTGTGCTAACTTCCTCCCACCTCTGAGTGAGGAGTGCGGCAGAGTACCAGCCTGCCGTGGAAGGAGCTCAGAGGGTGGAGGGGCAGGGCCCCCGTCTCAGTCCCCATTTCCATTGCGCATCCTGAAGTCAGGGGCTTGGTAGTCTTTTTGAGCTGGAGAACCCTGCTTTTTGTGCCAGTGTGTCCTCTTCCATCCCTGCGGAAGCAGATGGTGCTGCTCTAAGGGCTGCTGAAAGCTAGCATTTAGGGCTGGAGAGGGGCAGAGCTGAGGAGGCTTTAGATGTCCAGGCGGGGAAACTAAGGCTTCGTAAGGAGTGAAGTCCCTGCTGTCCCACCCGGGCTTCTGCCTCTGCCCCTCCAGTGGCATATCTGGGGCTGGCCACGGTGGGTTACCAGGGCCTGGTACTGTCCCTGAAGTGAAGGTCAACCTCATGCTGGGCCCTCTGCTGAGACACCAAATCCCAAGACTGAACAAGCCGGTCTCCTCAAACATGTGTGGGGTCTGTCAGCCTGGGTCGGTTCCCTGGGCTGGGTGGCAGTGGTGAGGGTTCTAAGGGGTTGAGGACCACTCCCAAGCTGTCAGAAGTTGGGGTGGGCTGGAGGGTGGAGGGCTCTGCTCTCGTGCCACCCACCTGGGCTCCTTGGTGCCCTGGCCCCAGGCCCACCTGTTCCCACCGTCCGAGGTGTGTTGGGGGCTGCAGATGTCCTGCAGTAGGAGGGCCCTCCCCATGCCACCTCTCTTCCTCTGCCCAGCCTCGCAGGGACAGTTCCTGGGATGCCCTGGCAGGAGTGGGGCCAGGGGCCTGCTTCGGCCCAAGAGCTGGGCACAAAGACATCTGCTCTTGCCACTGTAGCAAGGCCAGCTCAGGGCTCCTGATTATCTGAGGGAGCTGCTGGCGGTGGCCACCCACAGGTGGGTTTTTAGTCCTTTGTTCTGTAGACCTGTCCTCTGGGTGCTGAGTGTCAGGCATGGGGCTGAGGACCCACACACGGCCCCTGCTCTGTCCTCTGAGCCTCAGGCACTGCCAAAGCACGCAGGGAAGGAGCCATGCTCCCCTTGTCCCCTTGGAGTGGCTCTGGAATGGGAGGCTCATCCACGCTTGTCACGCTGAGCACTGAGGACTTGAGCCCAGACCCTGGTCACTCAGTTGTCCTGGGAGAATTAAGGGGAGGGTGATGCCAAGGCCTGCTGTTGCGGAGTTCCGCCCAGGATGAGGGTGTGGGGCCGTCTGGGAAGGGAAGAGGCACTGCCCTCCCAGCCCCATCGCTGCCGGGAGGTGGAGCAGAGGATTGTCAGGACCCTGGCCAGTGGGCCCGTAGCCGCTGCCCCTCCGGCGGGATTCCCAGGGCACAAGTGAGCAGCGGTTGTGGGTGTAGACCGCCACTTGGGCACACGTACGTCGGGCCTGTATCCAGTGGCCACGGGGGCTCCTTGGGACAAGCAACCAGAATACCCCAGAAATAAACTTGGCCCAGGTTTGAGATGGTTCTTTGTATGAAGAGAACTAGAGTTTCCCTAGTGACTGCTGTGTGTGGGGCTCTGTGCCTGGGGCTGGGGTGTGTGTCAGGGTGGGGGACAGGGAGGGATGGAAAAGCCCTGTGAAATTTCCACTCCTGGCTTCCATGGACCTAAGCAGTACCCCGGGAGCCACCCAGCTGCACTTTGTCATACAGCAGATCTGCCTCTGCCACTTCCTGACCATGACCCTGGCGAGTCGTGTTGTGCACCCCAGTCTCTCCATCCGTAGGTGGAGGCAATCACAGTGTCTCACGGGGTTGAAAGAGATAATTGAGGTACATAGAAGAGCCCTGCCTCTCACTGCCGGCATTATCGTCATCATTGTGAACCTGTCAGTCTCCCCACCACCAGGTAGCACTGTCCCGCACAGTCGGGGTTTGGGGATACCCAGAGCACATCCAGGGCTCTCCGGGGCAGCAGGCCGAGGGAAAACCCGTCAGATGGCCGCTGACACGTGCCCGTTGGCGGCCAAGGCCCAGCTGCTCCGTGTCTGAGGGCCCGGGTGAGTCTGGCGCACACAATGAGGGCCATTCTCAGACCAGGCAGGGCCGGTGGGGCAGCGCTCTCAGCTCCCATATGCAACAACCAGGGTGTTGTTCTGGGCGGGCCCGCTGCCTGGGGGGTGTTGGCATTGGGCAGGGGGCTCCCCTCTGTCCCCTCCCTCTGGGGTGAGTGAGCCCCAAAGGGCCTTCCTGGCTTTCTCAGGTGTGGCCGCGCGGCTCCCAGGGAGGGCAGGGCACCACCTTCCGCAAGGGGGGCTTTTGCCTGAACCCACCCATCCAGCAGCCCCACGCTCAGCCCTGCTCTGGGCCAGGCCTGGCGTGCATGTGCGGTGGAGGGACGTTCCATGCTTAAGCAGACAGGCCCCTCCCATTCTGGGCGCCCGGGTTGGGGGCACGAAGTGGGCAGTAACAAGAGGTGTCGATCAGCACTTCAAGGTGGGGACAGTGAGGTGTGGGTGCCCAGGGAGGGACGTGGGAGCTTTCTTGGCCAGGGGGGGCGGTGACACCCAAGTCACATCCTGAAGGAGGAGTAGGACACAGCAAGGGGTTTCCTAGGGTCGTGGGTGAGGCGGCCAGAGACTCGAGCGAGTCAGCAGCAGTCTCCGTGGTGCCTTGGACCCAGGTGTCTGGCAGAGTTGGCCTGAACTGCGATGGTGCCCTGGTGGTGTGCCCCTCCCAGAGGTCACAGCTGTGTCCTCTTGTGAGCTTGGGGGAAGCACTTGATTGGCCCAACAGTGAGGAAGGCTGGAAAGCCAGGTTCTGGGTAGACTGGCCCCACTCTTCCAAGCTGGGACAAGACACTGGGTCCTGGGGAGCATGTCCAGAGCAGGAATGCTCAG